ACATAAGACAACATGACACGTGACTTGACGCAATGTGACGTGATGTCATGAGATGAGACGACACAACATGACACAAAAATTCATCTGTGAAACTACACGTGATGTCACAAGACGACGACATCATGAGATGATGCTACTTTTCTTCTAGTGTCATATAAATGAAGTTATTACTAATATTCATTATTATTGAAACTACAGCAAACTGGTTGGATCTGGTTTGTTCCGGGGCCTCCTGACTTCTGGGCCCACAGGTTTCCCAAACGTGGACTGAACCTTTAACTCACAGACGGAACAGCACAATGTCCTCACAGAGATAGAGATGAGAGTCAACACTCTCATGAGGAGGAGGAGAGGAGCCCATTTTAAAGTGCTGCCATCTTGGCACTGGTGGCCGATTCTCCAGAGCCGAGTGTGAGCACACTCTTTCTCTGCAGGACGACGGCCCGCAGGCGAGAAACAGGACGACGAGCGAGGACAGAATGTGACGACACGTCGGCCGCGCCGCCCTCACGCCACGAAGAACGTTTATTTTTACACAGAAGTGGTTTCAGATTTTTCCGCGTGTGAAACTGAACGAGCTTCACATCGAATGAACGTTGAGCTTGTATGGGCTGAAGCTGAACTCGGCCTCCTCCTACACACGAGCATCTGTTCAACCGCTCGCCGACAAATCTCACCAATCACCAATCGTACTTTAGAAAGACGTCCTCTCCCTAGCAACGCTGCCTCGACCTCATCAAAATACACAGATAGTGTTTTAAATCCCTCCTCGGCTATATTTCACAGCACCGGTTTACAAATCCATTTAGCAGCATCTGTGAGCGTGCATTAAAGCTGCAGGAGGAAACTGTTACTTTAAATGACTGGCACGCATGACGTGGTGTCCTTGATTTTCCTGCTTGCACATGTCCTCTCTGTGTGTTATTATGCAGGCATCTGCTGTCAAGACTTCTTAAACTCATCGCAGCGTTCCTCCCGCTCTCCCCTCCACGCCACTCTCTCCATGCAGCCGCCCTGAGCCCCAAAACACACACACACACATTTACCACACAGACGAGTGCATGCAGAGTCAAACACGGGGAGGACACACACACACACACAGATATGATGATGATGATGATGATGAGAGGTTGGTGAAGCTCCCTCAGGCGTTGGGGAGTCTGACTCAGGCCTACTGTTCGCCTCGCAGCTCCACTCGTCTCCTCACATGCACCAAATCTGACATTTCTCTGCTACTGTAACAACGCTTGCTAATAATGAGGCAAACCTGCGCTCGCTCTGCAGCCGCGGCCCACAGGTGCAGGAGACGGGCTCTCGTCTTCATGTCGGTCTCCTTCCCCCAATGTTCACGTTGACCCCGAGCTGCTGTCTGCGTGGTCAACAGGAAGCTTCCTTCTGCAGATGATTAGCTTAGCATAAAGAGTAGAAACAGGTGGAAACAGCTAGCGTGGCTCCGTTCACAGGTAAGAAAATCCTCACTGTGTTTCATCTGCACTGAGATCGGATCCGTGCAGCTCGCGTCACGTCCTGGTCCAGGTGACGACCACTTCCTGTTTACTTGATAACAGCTCGCTGCTGCTGCCTCGCTGGTTTGAACAGTCACACGAGGTTTGTTTTATTTACACACACACTGAAAACAGGAAACAGGAAACAGGAGATGTTTGACTGACGAGTCTCACAGTTAGGAATAAGAGGTGGACCTTCTCCTCACACTGTGGTCATTGGTCTGTGGCGTCTGTGAGCTCTGACCTTCAGTCGTGTGAAGCTGTTGTTGTTGTTATCAGCAGCAGCAGCTCTGAACGCGGCCTCTGTAATTAGAGAGCTAATTTGTGAGCTGCAGTTGTTAAGGATGCCGGTTGTTACGGTTACCTGTTGTTATGGTTACTGTTTCCCTCTCCGACTGGCAACGAGGCCTCAAGTACCCACAGACACACACACACACACACACACACACAGGTATGTTTCTACTCAGCAGGGAGGGGACATTATAATTTACTTATATAAACAAACAGTTAATATTCTAGAATAAAAAGTTGGAGGAATAAAATACTTTAGATTTCAGGTGTTTGTGGCATCGTACTTTTCAAACAAAAGCTTTCTGCTGATTGTTGAGCTCGTCCCGTTGTGTTGTAAACAGTGGTTCGTCTGTGAGGTCATTAAATACATGGCGACATGTGAACGAGAGATTCTTGGTGGTTACACTGCCCCCTTATGGTTTCAGGTGGTACTGCTCCGTTTGATCTGTTCACGTATTTGATGTTGAGCTAAAATGAACCTTTCTCGTCCAGATGTGACGAACTCCTGGTTTTCACCTTTCAAACAATTAACTCCATTTGGAAACAACTTGTAACTGAGACCTGTTTGTTGTTGAGTTTAAATTGTGCATGAAAATACAAAAAACATAATAACATCATTGTCAAATGAGTCGGTTTGAAATCACACAACATTTCCATGATGCTGGTTTTGTGTTAGGCTGCATGTGAAGGATCTCGTGTCCTCGACTGATGAAACCTGACGTGGAGACGATATCTGGATTCAGGAACATGTATGATCGGTGCACACACATGAACACACATGATCTCTGAGCATTAGCATGTCCTGGTTTCCTGCTCTCATCTCCTCCTCTTTGACGTTTCTCTAAAACCTCACTGCAAGAATCTACAGCTCTATGCTTGAGAAGCCGTCACCGGCGTCCGCGCAGCAAATATCATGAAGTTTATTGTGAAAAGGTCCTAATGGCTGTATCCAGTGCGTGAAATCGCAGCGTTTTCGCCAGTGGCCAGTCACAGAGTGAGATGGATGCTGGCGAGTTATTATTCATGGCTGCTGTAGTCTGAGGACAGTGCACTAATCCAGGGGCGGGGAGATGCACATAGTTCTTATCATGATGAGGCTGGAGCATTAGATAAGGAAAAGGATAAATATAGTGCTCGTGCTTTGTTTTCCTAATCCACCCACAGGGCGAAGAAACTAACCTTTTAAATAGGTCACCTTCTCTGCTTTTAGAACCCAGTCCCTGTGTGTGTGTGTGTGTGTGTGTGTGTGTGTGTGTGTGTGTGCTCTTGTCCTTTTATAGAAGCCAGTTGAAGTTCTAGATGCTCCTCAGTTAAAGGCTCAGTACATTCTAATATCATAACACTGATAATATTTGCAAACATGTGCAGAGCTGTGTGTGTGTGTGTGTGTGTGTGTGTGTGTGTGTGTGTGTGTGTGTGTTAGAAATCATACCTGAGCTCCATGGATGGATTATCATGACCAAGGGCCGTGGACATAAACTCACCACAGACCCACACACGCAAATGCTACACGTGAACTGCGTGTGCCTGAGGTCGACACAACCACACAGAATAAATCACTTTGAAATTATATGTGTTATTTTGACATTTGAAATTACTGCTGTGATTTTTTAAAGGTAGAGCAGAGTAATTATATCTTTAGTCAGTAAATTATTATCAATGAAAACCGACATCATCCAACATCTTTGATGAAGTCATCAAACTCTAAGTTCAGATGAATACAGTGGGAAAAGTTTTCACACGCAGTATAAAATCCACCTGTACTCCAGCTTCATTAGGGTGTCTCTAGGTTCTGCTCAGACTCTGGTCCTGGTTCATACAGAGAAACTGTATTTAAACTAAAGTAAATGTGTCTCTGACCTGAAGCATCGAGCTGCTGTACGATGAGATATTTGAGTTTGTGTGGTTTTAAAGAAAGACTCCTTCCATCTCCTTCAAACTGCAGAGTGTGGCCCCGGGGCCCGGCCTCCGTCCAAGGAGAAGAAGAGGACTCGGACACAAAGACAACAAAAAGACCCTCAGTGAAAGAGTCCATGGATTTGATGATGTGGAAAGTCTTTGTGTTTGGACTGTGGGGAGATGCATTCATGTGCATTAAGGACGTCGCTGCGTTTTGAAAACGATGCAGCGACTGGTCAAACACACAGAGAGGAAGTGAAGTTATATAAGACTCGAGGAGCGAACATGAAATAATTATAGCTGTAAAAAAACCGTTTCATCGTGAGGTCTGTTTCACTGCAGCTCTGCAGCTTCTCGTCACGTTCTTCAGGAGACGTGTGCATTTTCAATCACTAAATGTTTCAAGTCTGTGTCGATAACTTGAGAAACTAGTTTTGACTCGGCTGAGGGGGTTTCATTTCTTTAGGAACTTAATTTAACAAGTTAAACCAACTCTCAGCTGCTCATTCACTTAACTCATCTTTTCAATACATGTCAACTGTTCGCTCCGGCCCACTAACACAACAACACAGCGACGGTCATCTGGACATTAAACGCAGAGGAAGAGACGCCGCTTGTGTTTTCACAGAGAAACGTTTGACTTGATAAAATAAACTCAAACCACAGAAGATGAAGTCTTGGTTCAGATCTGACGTCTGCTCCTCCAAAATATTGTTTCTTCAAATGTGTGACCCGACAAAAAAATCACTGTTCTTCAAACTCTGATTATAAAGATTATTATAAAGATTATAAATACATCGTCAGCTCCGACTGTCCGTTTATCACTGAGGCCATTTTCTTCTTCTTATAAAATGTGATGAAAATCTGAACCGTTCATTTTACAGTTAGAGAGAAAGACAGAGAGGGAGAGAGAGAGAGAGAGAGAGAGAGAGAGAGAGGATGTGATGATTATTCCTGACCTCTGTCTGTCTGTCTATCTCTCTCTCTCTCTCTCTCTCTCTCTCTCTCTCTCTCTCTCATCCGGGTCCTCCTCCTCTTCTCCTTTGCTTTTAATATTTACTTCATCCAGACCATCGCTGGTTTAAGCCTCAACAGCAGCAGCAGCTCTCGTGCGTCCATGTGAAGAGAAGCTGCGGCCGCAGGACGCACCAGTCCCGCTTCATCCCGCTTCATCCCGCTGCTGCACATTATTTTTAACTTTTTTTTATCTCCTGGGAAAAATAAATAAATATCGGAGACGATGTTTGCGTCGCGGATCAACAAGTCTCTGGTGTTTCCGCCACATTGACCGTGGATGGCTGCGGAATGGAGATAGCCTTGGTGAGCTTTGAGAACGGCGGCGCCAAAGGGAGCGGTGGAGGTGGAGGAGGCAGCAATGCCGAGGAGAGCTGCCGGAACGCGCTGGATGTCCCTCAGCCCGGCTTCGTGCAGACTGGACTCGGGGAGGACTTCGGCAAAGAGCTGAACACCCGGGGGAGTCCTCAGCAGCGGCTCCATCCGCTCCACAGCTCCTGGAAAATCAACGACATGAACAACACTTTCAGCTGCAGCGAGAACGCCATGGATGCGCTTTTACGCGCGGACCACAGTCCCCATCTGTTCGACGAGGACATGCTGGACATGGACATGGACACGGAGAGCAACGAGAGGGTGCTCATCAACATAGCCGGGCTGAGGTACGAGACCCAGCTGGGCACCCTCAACCAGTTCCCCGACACTTTACTCGGAGACCCCGCCAAGAGGATCAAGTACTTCGACCCGCTCCGGAACGAGTACTTCTTCGACCGCAACAGACCGAGTTTTGACGGGATTTTGTATTTTTATCAGTCGGGGGGGAAGATCCGGAGACCCGTGAACGTGTCCATCGACGTGTTCGCGGATGAGATTAGGTTTTATCAGCTGGGGGAGGAGGCCATGGAGAGGTTCCGAGAGGATGAAGGCTTTATAAAGGAGGAGGAGAAGCCGCTGCCTCAGAACGAGTTCCAGAAGCAGGTCTGGCTCATATTCGAGTACCCGGAGAGCTCGAGTCCCGCCCGGGGCATCGCCATCGTGTCCGTGCTCGTCATCACCATATCCATCATCACCTTCTGCCTGGAGACGCTGCCAGAGTTCAGGGATGAGCGGGAGCTGCCGGTCACCAGCCGCCTGGACAACAGCACCGCGCCCCGGCCGTCCCTCACCTTCACCGACCCCTTCTTCATCATCGAGACCACGTGCGTCATCTGGTTCACCTTCGAGCTCTTCGTGCGCTTCTTCGCGTGCCCGAGCAAGTCCGAGTTCTCCAAGACCGTCATGAACATCATCGACATCATGTCCATCATGCCTTACTTCATCACAGTGGGCACGGAGCTGGCGGAGCAGCAGGGCCAGGAGCACCAGAACGGGCAGCAGGCCATGTCCCTGGCCATCCTGAGGGTCATCCGCCTGGTGCGGGTCTTCAGGATCTTCAAGCTCTCCAGACACTCCAAGGGGCTCCAGATCCTGGGGCAGACCCTGAAGGCCAGCATGCGGGAGCTGGGCCTCCTCATCTTCTTCCTCTTCATCGGGGTCATCCTCTTCTCCAGCGCCGTGTTCTTTGCAGAAGCGGACGAGCCGGAGTCTCACTTCTCCAGCATCCCGGACGCCTTCTGGTGGGCGGTGGTCACCATGACCACGGTGGGCTACGGGGACATGAGGCCGGTGACGGTCGGGGGTAAGATCGTGGGCTCCCTGTGCGCCATCGCCGGCGTGCTCACCATCGCGCTGCCGGTGCCGGTCATCGTGTCCAACTTCAACTACTTCTACCACCGGGAGACGGACCAGGACCAGTCCTCCCTGAAGGACGAGCCCAACAGCGGCAGAGCGAGTCCCGAGCTCAAGCGCAAAGGAAGTAAATCATCCGCCAAGTCTCAGGACGCGGAGAACAACGACGCAGCCGCTTCTGGAGAGAAGGCGAACATGAAAGCGAACAGCAACATGGACTTCAAGAGATCCCTTTACGCGTTCTGCCTGGACACACGGGAGACAGACCTGTAGACCTCCGCGCTATAAAACATTAAGGCCCATAGTTGTGTAGAATAAACCCCCATTAATGGGCTCTTAAGTCTTTGCACACGGCGCAGGAGGATCAACACATCGCAATCCTGAAAAGTTTTAAGAGCGACGGGGTTGATTTATAAAAAGCACATTTTAATCCGCCTCAATCTGGTGAGCACTTCCCTCAGAGTTCTGAACGAACCACGGAGCATGTGATGCAACACTGAGGCCCTTTAACTGAGCAGGAGCTGCCGCAGAACAGGAGCCTGAGCCCGACACTTTATCAAGCTGCAGCCGCTCTTTGTACATAAAGTAGGAAACAGTCCATATTCTGCAACACAAGAAGAAGCCAAATTTAGTTTGTTCTCACCCTCCCTACATTTAGTCATTATGTTTACAGGAGAAGCAGAAGTGTACATATATCCCACACGCCTAGTTATCAATTGGATTACGCTGTTATTGTAGATTTTGAGAAACAGGAAAAAGAAACAAGTATATTTTTGACGCCTGTTTCCCTTCGCTCAGGTTCTGTCAAAGAAGTGAAACACTTTCCCTTTTTCCAGCTGAGAGTCGGTTCACTCTCAGAGGACCTGAACAACAGCAGCCTTGTTTCTGATCATTTAAAACTTAAAGGAGTAAACTGAAGGAAAGAACAGAGGACAGAGCAGAGACCATCTGGAGAGATGAAGCCACACTGACACCAGGTTAGTGTCCAACAGTTCAACTGTCTCTTTAGAAATGTGTTTTAATGATTCATGGGTTCATGTGTCCCTAACATTACTCCACAGTTTCAGCACCGGGGCTGAAGGGACAGCTCCTTCTGTATGGATAACTTTCACACATGATTGTAAATATCTCGTTAAAGAATCAACCATCCAGACGAGGATCAGTCCACCGAGAAATCAGTTCTGATGTTTCATTGGCTTATTGTAGATATATTTATATACTTAGACGATTATGCAGATAACGACATTTAGGAAACTTTTGAACAGTTTGTCCACATCCAGGTTTTTCAAATCTAAAAGGTCCAACTCTGAATATCTGAGGTTTCAGGATCCTTGGATTTGATTTCAGCTTCGTAGTTTTGATCTAAAGTCTGGTCGTAGATTTACTTTTTACCGAGAAGCTTTGTAGTCGTGTATCATGTCAAGTTCAACAAACGATGAATCGTTTCATTTGATGCTTGAAGTCGCAGAAACAAACAAACAGTTCAATCATCCCCAAAAGAATTCGATGTAGAATATATGTATTAAAACATCATCGTGTGATGACCCTTCAGATTTATCTTGTGACCCTTTGGAGGGGCTCAAACCTCATGTTGTAAACCAGCGTTTATATAAAGCAGAAAAAAGCAGCTCCAGTCAATACTTTGTTACTTTACTGGTTAAAGATT